TAATTTATATCTTTGAGGAGATCTCACTGAATCCCTAATCAGCTTGGTTGTCATGACCAAACATTCAGTATTTAAAAACAATAAAAAAAATTACTATTAATAAAGGAAAAGAAGCTAATAAAGTATAAAACAATAAATAAAACCCGGCTTGAATACGTTCAAGTCCTACGTATAGCAAAAAAATAAATATTGAAGTTAATTCTAACGCAATTACATTATGGCAATTTGCATTAGTCAACGCTTTTTTGATTTCATTTTGATTCTCTTACGTTAAGTGATAAAAAGTTATTCCGAGTCAGAGTGGTGTAAAGAAATGAAGCGTCTCCCACTTGAAATTTCTTCTACTGTTAAAAAAAATTAGAATTCTACTTTACTCTTTTCGTTTATTTACGCGAATAGTCTCCCATAAAAATGATTTGTTGATATCATTTCCTTCTACTTGTTTGGAATATTTTTCTATTGTTACAAAAAAAAAAAGTTTATCAAAGCGTTTTCAAATATTAATGGTAAAATAAGAACTTGTATATATATTTGCATCAAAATAATACTCTGGTCCATAATTAGAAAATAAAGGCATTTGCTGAAAAGAATCTCTCGAATTAAAATCGTCATCTGATGACGAATTCGCAAGTTGAAATTTGAATAGTAACAAATTTGATCTCTACAAAAAAGAAAAGATAATTTTTCACTAAAACAGGGAAGCTTTATAAATACCTCATATTCATGTTCAATCGTGTCGTGTGGATGCACCTTTTTAACGCGAGAATAACCATTTAAAAATCCTATTTTACCAAGTATCGGAACAAACCGTTTGTTAAAATATTTTCCTTTTTGAACACCTAAAAATCAATTTTTTTTTTAGCTTTTGAAGCTTGAAATGGAATTTTTAATTACGTTGATCTATTGCCATGAGATAAACATTTGAACCACGTGCACTTTCAACATGAAGTTTCAGATTACTTCCAGGTTTAACGTTTGTTGATGATAACGACAGATCAAGCTTATTTGGTAATTTAATAAAAAGTTTTTAAAATATTGTTAGATGCAAAAATCATTTTATGCTAAAGTAATATGTACTTACATAATTAGGAAATAAATCAGAAAAAGGTATATACATACGAGTGGCATGAATATTACGATTCTCATCATAACGGTGGAAGTAAAAAAAGGTATTTGGCGTGAAAGTGAAATCAGGAATGAAACTCAAGATTCCCTGTCTATCTTTTAAATTTATGGTAAAACTTCGTTTTAGTATTCCCTTCACTATTAAATGACAGTAGCATTGCTTAACATCATGCTCTGTTTCCACATGAATATTTACTCGCGATCCGATTTTAGGGCTATAAAAATTTGGAAAGTTATTTCCGATAAAAATATTATTTAAATGTAATTTTGTATCACTTTTTTGTGAGAGTTATAATCCTCCATTTAGGAAGAGTTACTTCATTAAAAGGATGTGCAGAATGAGTTCTCGACAATGTAGCATGAGCAGATATCTAAATACAAGAATCCTAAATTAATTGAATTTTAAGTAACGTGTTTTTACCTGTATAAGTATCATTTCGCGGAAACCAGTTACAGGAAGATATTGTAAGGAAACTGTTCCATCTAAGTTCAGCTCGTATTCCTTATTCAATAAAATTCTGTTTGTGCAATTAGGGTCTCTATGATCGCATATGGATTCAATTTTAACATCTATTTTAAACCCTATTGGGGGCTAGGAAAAATATTTAAACAGTTGTTAAAATAGAGCACAGATAATTTATGAATAGACTTAGAATTGATCACATTATGAATTCATTTCTTACCGGAGAATTATCAGTAATCCTACGAAGTGCAACTACATAGTCATAATTTTCACCATCTACATAGTATTTTTTGCCCATTATTTTTGTTTCGTAAGTGTTTTCTAGGATTCCAATCAATGAAGTAGCATCAACTGTTTTCGCAGTTAATTCATCTGTAAAAGTAGCTTCTATTGCCATTTTTTTGAAAGATACTATATTTAAATCTTTTTTCATATCGACTTCAAACGTAACACTCTCTTCATCAACAATATCGAATTGTTTTGAAAATAATGGGGTGGTGTTCTCACCTAAATGTCTACTATAAAAATTCACAATCATTCTGCCTTTAACTTTTGTACCAAAATTATATTTCACTGATGTTGTTACTTGGAATTTTTCCTCAGATATTGTAACAAATTCAGGATTTGTGATGGCGAGACTAATTAAAGGAACTTTCAATTCTTCAACTTTAAATGTTTTGGTGCAGTCATACTAATGACAAATTTAAAATTTTAGATAAACATCTAAGTTAATTTTTTCTACTCACAAAACGAGGATCTTTTAACGTTAGAGTCCATTTTCCCAGAGAAGGCTTCGGACTTAGTTGATGGTATCCTTCATATACACCATTTACAAAGGTTACATTTGAAAATGTTTTAACTTCTACACCATTGGGCTCTGTAATTATTATATTTCCTTCAGGCACATCCGAAGGTCGTCCTTCAGAATCAATTGAAAATATTCTGAATTTTATTACTTCTTGTGGCAGATAAACGGGTTTATCAATAATAGGTAGGCAACCATATAAATAGTTTACGAAAGTTAAGTCTCGTTCTTCAGAATAGCTTCTTCCAGTTTCAGGATCGTAAGCAGTAACATTTAACTTGTAGGAACCTTGTTTTAATTCTTCAGTCTTTGGAGTTTAACATTAATGAAGTTTATAATTAAGGCTATTGCGTATCCATAACAAACAAAAAAATATGAATCAAACTTACATTAAACCTCATCTTTCTGTGTACTCCAGATTTTATTTTAACTCCGATATTATTTAATTCATAATAATGGTTGTCGATACTAGTTCCCGAAAGTTTAATGTTAACAGTTACCACTCGTTCAATACCATTTGCAGTGATAGCATAATTAAAAGGACGTTCAGGCCGAAGAATCAAAGATGCCACTACGGAAAACACGCTGAAATGTCGAGTCTCGATCTTTATGTGAGTTCAATAAAAATTTAAATATTGTTTACGGTTTATCAGAGTAGCACAAAGAAAATAAATTTAAAAATGCCACGACACAAAATATGAATTTTAATTTAACCACCATCACGAAGGTTTGTTCTGCTATCAGTTCCACCAATAACTGCTACAATTTCAGCGAAAACATTTCTTTTAATATTCTTTAATTTTCAGTCTGAAAATAGATCTATTACAAACTGATGTTCATACACTTAGAAAAAACTATTATTTGAGTTATAACGTTTGTTACTGGCGTGAGTATTATTATTATTATTATTACAGCGATAGAACGCCTTGCTACGAGTTCATTCTTCAATTTGGTTACTGCTCAAATAATGTAAATCATAATAATCTGAAAACATATAACTTATGCGTTAAACTTATTGTTGTAAAAGAAACGACAATTGACAATCCTCTGAAATAAAGCCGTCATATTGTGTGAAATTTATTAATGTGTTAACGAATTTTTCCCTAAGTATGTACAATTTTCTTCGCAACAAAACAAATGTTTTTCTAAACTTATAACTTATTAGCGAATTGAAAACGTCACAAAACTAAAGAAAACAATAAGTCTTATTACCTACGTCTTTTATTGTTGAACAAAAATTATTTATCTGTAAATGAGAACTTCACGTTGTCAGGTGGAAATTTCATACCGCAGAATTTTTAGGTTGTTTTTATTTAACTTTTTAGTAAAATTTAGTAAAAAGTTGTTTCGTGTACGTGCTAAAAGTCGTGTTTTGGTGATATATTACTTTTTACGCATCTCAAATAAAAAATATAAAATGTTTTCACATAAGTTCCTACAACTTTTTCTTGCATCGCATCGCCTACATAAAAAATAATTTTAGTTTCAATTCCTTGAATACGAATTGAAATTTGTTTTTTTTTATTTAATCTTCTTTAAGAAAACAAATTGATGTATAATTTTAATGTTTTAATCAGTAACCTTAAAAGTTATTCGATCATTTTCATGTAACGGAACGTGTGAGTTGTCAAATTCAAAATAGGATTGAGAGCTTTAATTTAAAAATTTATTAGACAATATTATTTAGTTTGTGAAATTCATGACTCATTAAATTGTGCGCACGTTGCATATAATTTTCAACAGTTTCGTACTCTATGAAATCCATTTTTGGCAAGATCTTTACTTTCACTTGTCCTCTTCCAAAAACGTGATTTTTGTGATCAATTTGCTTGTATTTTTGTATAACAACTGGTTGAATTTTCACATGAGTCAACAAAGACAAGGAAAATGCACCTTTTCGAAAAGGAAGAAGTTTGTTTTCATTGCTTCTGGTTCCTTCAGGAAAGATAATTATACTCTAAAAAGATTTATTTTTTATAACAGAAACTTCGTTAATGTTTTTCACTTACTTTGTCATTTTTTAAACTCTGAACACATTTTTCAAGAGCCCTTTGACCGGAAAAGCGTTTACTCGTTCGACTTGTGAAGATACAATCACAAAAATAACAACCAATGGCTATAATTATGTTGACATAAAATATAGCAAGGCTTGTTACAGCACAAATTTGTCTTTTATGAAGAATCAGAATCATTTTAGCAACTGTTTGAAGTGTTGAAATGAGATTATAAATAAACATAATGATTAACAATATAATTACATACCAACAGTATCCAAACTGTTCTGATGGTTTAATATAAAAATCACAGGTCCAGTTGTTTCTAAATTCGTGATTCCTTCCATTATGAAATCTACTCCAATCAATTTAGAAAATAAAATCTGTCCATAACACAAAAACCTGCAATAACACGTATTCGTAATATTATTGTAAATATTTGTTTAACTTGGCCTAAGTTGTAATCCAAAAGGTAACCTTTGTTAATACACACAACAGACTGTTTGTGTTTATTATTCTGTTCTTTTCTTATCATTCCACTTACAAACCATTTCTGCTGTTTCTTCCATTCCAAATCATGTAGGGAAGTGAAAGTATCATGAACAAGCTTTCATTTATTGTGAATAGTAAAAACTTCATGTAGTAAATTATTCGATTCAACATGCTTTTGCCTTTACTAAAGTTTAACTAGTTCAAATATTGACATAGAATTGTGTTGGCTAGAAAATTATTCATTGAGTAATTGAAAAAAAATGAAATTTTACGGAAGTTCTCGATTACGAAGTTCTAATTACACTACAATTAAAATTGTGTTTCAAATGTTGAACTTGAAATTATTATCGAGAAAACAAAATCACACATTTTTTTTATTTTAAAACTTTGAAACATCATTGATGAAGTTCAAGTCACATTTCATCAAATAAATGAAGAGATGAAGCAGTTTAATAACACTATAAAAATAAAAGTTTAATTCTTTTTAAAATATGTTTAGAATGGAAGAAAATTGTTACCTGTTGAAGTAAGAAGAAGAGTAAAATGGAATAAATATAAATAATAAAACATGCTATTAGAACGTCTTCATTATAAGATATTGAAATTGCAATTATAATAAACAGTTGATAAGAAATCACATAAAGAAAGTATTCAACAATTCTTTGCGTTATTAAGTTAATCTCAACCACATCTTCGACTTTTATTGTCTTCAATAACGATGTCGACATGTTTGACTAGCTACACACTAAAATTCAATACTTCAAGTTTCATATAACGATCACAGCATTTAACTGAATATTTACTTCCACGGGATGTGAGATAATCGAGTTGATAATCGTCTTTTAAACGTATTTAGAGAATTTGGTTTTAATTTCTTTTATCCTAAAACAAACGACGAGTAAAGAACGCAAAAACACTTTTAAATATTTTTGAATTTTTCATTTAAAATACTTTTAAAAGCTATTTCGACAGCAAAGTTGTTTACTTCAAGTAATTTGGTTCAATACTAATATTGAATCAAATACGAGTATGGAACGAAAGTGTTTTCTTTTAATTATATTCAAACATTAAAGACTTTAAAGTTTAAACGTGCAGTGTTGACGATGACGATAAATAAAAACTAATGAAAAGTTCTTCATCGAATGAATAGCGAAGATCATCATGTTGCATCCAGTTGCAGAAACTTTGCAATAATAATTGAATTGTATTATTCAAATTTAATTCGCAGCACAAAAGTTTGATGAGAAAGACAAATAGAACTATCTAATAAAAAAGATANGAGGATGGCTTTTGGTTGTTTTTGTTTATTGATTTTTTTTTGTTTAGTTATGTTTATAATTATTGATTTTTACCAATTTTATCGATTTTTTTATTGATTTTTTGAGAAAAATCTTCTTGAATTATTTAAAAAAAAATTGGTGAGGGGGGTTTTAGGATTGGTCCAACCCAATCCTAAAACCTACAAAAAAACAAGAAAATAATTAATTAATCAAACATACTCACATAATAAACCCTCCACCAAATCCTTAAACCTATAAAAAAAAACAAAATTAAATAATCAAACAAAGTTACATTATGACAATTCAAAACTTAGAAAAATTCTTCAAAATCAACATCCAAGTCATCCCAATAGTCATCTTCTTCAATAAGTTCTAATTCCCGATTGAAATTCAAGGTTGGATAGTACCGACGATTCCGGTAAAGATGATAATTCACTTCCTCATCGAAGTTCATCATGTTGTTTTCCTCTTCTACTTCCACTTCCAATTCCTCTTCAATTTCTTCATCTTCTTCAGCTAATGGCTGCCATAGATCCAATTCGAAACCGTTGCTTGGAAAGTTTTTCCGCTTGTTGAATAGTTTTTGATTCACTTTCCAATCTTTGATGATTTTGATAAATTCATCCATTTCATCTTGTTCTTCCGATTGCTTCCACAAATTGTACAATTGATAGCTCAAATAGGCTAATCCCGTAAGTCCTAATCCAATTGCAATAAATTTCTTCATTTTTCTAAAAATAAAGAAAAAACAAAGAAAATTAAGAAAATTAACTTACAACTTCCGTTCTCCTTTAAATTGTTTCGATATTTTAATATCTTTTGCTTGTGATGTGCTTCTTTCTATAATGAAACAAAAAAAATTCACATTAATCACTTTTTTTCACAAAATTACTTTTTTTTCACCTCTCCACTTTGAAATTCCTCAGAACTACAATTGACAATAAAAATTTTCTTTTAACTTTCTTCGGCTTACTGCGATGGGAAAATTCGTGATTTTCCTTATGAACACTATGATTGAAAGTTTTTATTGAAAATGAAGATAACTTCGATCACATTTACATCTAAATTACGTGGAAAATTAAATAATTAAAAGTTATGATTAATTTAAGAATTGATTAAAGATGTTCTATACTTCAATACTAATATTGAATCAAATACGAGTATGGAACGAAAGTGTTTTCTTTTAATTATATTCAAACATTAAAGACTTTAAAGTTTAAACGTGCAGTGTTGACGATGACGATAAATAAAAACTAATGAAAAGTTCTTCATCGAATGAATAGCGAAGATCATCATGTTGCATCCAGTTGCAGAAACTTTGCAATAATAATTGAATTGTATTATTCAAATTTAATTCGCAGCACAAAAGTTTGATGAGAAAGACAAATAGAGCTAATAAAAAAGATAATTTATTTACAATTTAGGCTTAAGAGTTTGTAAAAGTTTAAAGATTTTAAGAACTCAGATGTTGCAGTGACAAACTCGAAGTGTTAGCTGAAAATAAGTTGAAAAGTTCATGTCATGGCATGAATATAAAGTTAAAGAAAAATCGAGGATGGCTTTTGGTTGATTTTATTTATTTATTGATTTTTTTTATTGATTT